TTGCATACGAGATTACAATGTACATTTTTTGTTTATTAGGTTCCAGTCTAAATTTGTACTTTTAGCACTTGCTGAAAATGCAAGAGACTTATAACAGTGTACTTGATTTATTCCTTTTTGTGTTTGTCTTTTGTGTCCTGTCATATATTTTATACTTTTATGTCTGTTTAAACCATGTCAGTCATTGTTGCAATTATTCTAAATATCAATATTAATTTATATTTGTCTAAACATTTACCTTTCTGGTTCTCTGCATTAAGTCCTCTAGTTCTGTGCTTCCATATGAGGTTATTTTCCTGTAGCTTGATGAATTTCCTTCATTTGTAAAAAGTTCTCTCAGGTTTTGTTTATTTGAAACTCTTATTAATGCATCTTCATGTCAAGATATTTTCTCTTATAGAACTCTAGGTTGGTTGCTGTATTTTATTTTCTTGCTTTGTCTTAGCAATCTACAGATGTCATTTTATTATCATCTATTTGTTATTTCTGATTTTAAAAAAACCAAAAACTTTGTTAGTCTTATCCTTCTTTCCCCTGAAGATTATGTGTCTTATTTTTTCTGACAACTTTTAAGATTTTCTCTGCCTTTGGTTTTTAAGACTTTGACTCAGGTATAGTTTTCTTCATACTCTGGTGAGGTTTATAGAATTTTGTATGTTTGCCTAGAGACTCATGTGTTAGGGGTGCCTGGGTGGCTCAGTAGGTTAAGTGTCCAACTTCAGCTCAGGTCATGATCACACGGTTTGTGAGTTTGAGCCCTGCGTCGGGCTCTGTGCTGACAGCTAGCTCAGAGGCTGTAGCCTGCTTCAGATTCCGTATCTCCCTCTCTCTCTGACCCTCCCCTGCTCACACACTCTCTCTCTCAGAAATAAAACATTATGAAAAAAAATTAAAAAAGAAAAAAGAGACTCAAGTTAGCTTTGGAAAATTTTTGATGAGTATTTTTCAAATATTGCCTATGATTCATCTACTCTGCTTTCCTAACTCTAGTTAGATGTGTATTAAACCTTTGTAGCATGTTGTACATGTCTTTATGCTTTTATTTTTTTAATGTTCTTTATGTTTCTTGGTGTGTCATTTTTGCTGTTTCTAAACTAGTGAGTTCTTAATTTCATTGATTGTATATTCCAGTTCTGGAATTTCCATTTGACTCTTCCAAGAATTCTGGTACTTTGCTGAAATTCTGCATCTATCCTTTTTATTTTTTTAACCGCTGAACATTTCAATCAGTTAATTTAAGGTCTTTCAGATAACTCGAAAATATGAATAACCTGAGTGTTTTTGTCTGTGTTCTGTTATTTCTTTTAATAGTTCTTTATTTATAAACATTTGAGCTAAAATTCACATAACATGAAATTCACTATTTTAACCTTTTAGAGTTTACAATTCATAGGTTTTTAGTATATTCATAGTGCTTTCCGACTAATCACCACTATCTAATTCCAAAAACATTTCCATCAACTCAAAAAGAAACCTCATAATTACGTGCATTCAATCCCAGTTTTCCCTCTGTCCATTCCCTCGTAATATCTAATTAGTCTATATTCTTTCTCTCTGGATTTACCTATTCTGGATATCTCATATAAATGAAATTATACAACGTGTGGCCTTTTGAGTCTGACCCCTTTGACTTAGTATAATGTTTTCAAGATTCATCTATGTCATACTATGTTGAAATATTGATTACTTCATTTCATTTGTGGCTGATTAATATTCCATTGTATGAATGTTTTTATTTATCCATCGGTTGATAGACGTTTGAGGACTTTTTTCCCTGGTTTTTGGCTGTTATGAATAATGCTACCATGACATTTGTGTGCAAGTTATGTGTGAATGCATGTCGTCAGTTCTCTTGGGTCTGTACCTCTGGTACAGAGCAATTGCTATGTCATACGGTAACTCTATGTTTAACTTTTTGAGGAACTGCCAAATTGTGTTCCACAGTGGCTGCGCCCCTTACAGTCCTGCCAGCATGTATGAGTTTCCTTTTTTCCACAGTCTTGCCAACCCTTGTTACTTTCTGTAGTTTTTAGAAAATTATTATAGCCATCCTAATGAGTATTGTCTGTTTATTCTTGTTCTTGGAATGCTTTGTAACTTTTCACTGAATGGCAGACTTAATGAATGAACAATTGTACAGGCTCACCTTGGTGGTTATTTTCCTCCAAAGAGAGTTAAGTTTTCCTTTGGAAGGTGAAATACTAGAGTACCTTGAGAGGGTACCTTGAGTACTCAACGTTGACTATAAGATTTGTTAGGGCTGAAAAATTTCTCTTTTGACCTTAATCTAAGAAAAGCCTTTTGTGAAGTCTCAACAGAGAGCTTCAGTTGTTTGTTTCAAAGGCCTTTGTAACTTGGTAGGGACTACTTCCAGTCTTTGTTTCCCTAGCCCTGTGCAGGAGCAGAAATTTCTGCTCAGTTCTTCAGCCTCTTAACTGCTGTTTTATGCTAGTTTTTGTGAGTTTTCATCCTTTCTGTGGTTCCTCTACTCGGGGATTTTGTTCTTCAGGTTCTAGCTTTCTGATAGTGTGGAATGCTGCCTTCTCCTCAGGCCAGGAGGGCTGCTGCTTCTGCTCAGGCTGTTTTCTTGTTACACAGCTAAGTTAAGGAAAAAGCCACGGTGTTTAGGGAGCTGATTTTCTGTGCTTCACTTCTCTCAAGAGTCGTAGCCCTTACTGTTTCTCTCTGTGCAGATTGCTCTTCAGTGCTTTTGAACAATTATTACATTTGTGTAGATTTTATAATTTTTATTGGCAGATGGGTTAGTTTGATACAAGCCACTCTATTATGATGGGAGCCATGAATACTGATGTTGCACTGGGTGTATCACAAGAAAGTGAAAAAGCTGATTGAGAGTGAGAACATAAATTTTCAGCAAAAAATTTGAAGAATATAGAAGGCAGGATTTTTATTTTTAAATGAGAAGAGGGTCATAGTCAGCCATGTGTGAAGGATAGTAAAGGATCATTTCAAAGTAAGAGGTGACACTGAGTTGATGCTTGGTAATTTTGTAAAATACTGAACAAGGTCATTAGTGTTTAAAGAATCCAAAGTGGATAAAGAATTTAAAATGAGTGTTGAAGAAAAATATTTAATAAAGAGCAGTTATTTTCTGGATTTGATAGTAAAGGGACTAAGACTGTGAATTCTATTTATTTGTTTGTTTAAATTTTTTTTTTAAATTTTTATTTATTTTAGGAAGAGAGAGAGGGAGCATGAATGGGGGAGAGGAGCAGAAGGAGAGAATCTTAGGCAGGTTCCGTGCTCAGCACTAAGCCTGATGTGGGGCCCCATCCTGGGCCTGATCCCACAACCCTGGGATCATGACCTAAGCTGAAATTAAGAGTTGGTTGCTCAACTGACTGAGCCATCCAGATGCCCCAAGATTGTGAATTTTATTTTATTTTATTTTATTTTTTTAATGTTTTTTATTTATTTCTGAGAGAGAGACGGCGTGAGTAAGGGAGGATGAGAGAGAGAGGGAGACACCGATTTCGAAACAGGCTCCAGGCTCTGAGCTAGCTGTCCACTGTTAGCTAGCTGTCAGCACAGAGCTTGATGTTCGAACCCAGGAACTGTGAGATCATGACTTGAGCTGAAGTCAGACGCCCAACCGACTGAGCCACCCAGGCGCCCCAAGACTGAATTTTAAATGGGTGCTATTAGAGTTGTACTTGGTTATTTGTGTAAATGTTAGTGATTATTAAATGGTTGGCAATATGAGTATTTACATGTGATGACTAAAAGACAATGTTTATTTATTAAGGGTATCAAAGAGGATAGTGGTCACAAAACCGAGATGGTACAGAAACAGTAACTAACTAGCCATGTAAAAATGTGGGAGGAAAGGGCACCTAGTTGTTAGTTATTGAATGTCCAACTCTTGGTATGGGCTTAGGTCATGATCTCACGGTTTGTGGGATCAAGCGCTGTGTTGGGCTCTGTGCTAACTGTACGGAGCCTGCTTGGGATTCTGTGTCTCTCTTTCTTTCTGCCCCTCCCCGCTTGCACTCTCTCTCAAAATAAATCAGTAATCTTAAAAAAAGTGGGAGGAAGAGAATGACTGAAATTATAGGAGTCGACCTTATGTTTTTGGAACATGGAGAGATAGAGAAGGATGGCAGAAGTAGATCTGCAAAGCATAGTGTCTCCTTCTCCTCCTGTAGGGTTAACAATGGGGATTGGGAAAGAAACTAACCATTTACTTTCTTCACCAATGTATCCCCAAGAAGGGAACCAGGTGTTGCAGACCACCTTGTATCTGTGTTGTTCCTTTCGCCCTTTTGTGAACTCTCAAGGTTAGTCAGTGATTTTCTTCACACTTTCATTAGGAAATTTGCCAAAGGCATCCTTTTGAGGCAGCTGTCTCTGTACCCTTGGAGGCCATCAGTAATGTTTCTGATCTATAGGAGTCGTCGGCCAAAAACGTTGGACTGAACTGAGTCTTTGCGGCTTATAACATTCCTTTGCCAAAATGTATTTCCCCCTCAAACAGTACAAAGTATATCATATTTTAGGGCTTCTTGTCCTTTTATAATTTTTGTTACTGTATCTTTTCAGGTAAAATCCATCATTAATAGTAAATATGTCTAAATGTATTAATAATGAAAGAATACTTAATTTTTAAACCATCGTTTAAATAACAACAGTGGACACATTAAAATCCTTGTATATAAAAAATGTGAATTTTTGTATATAATGTTTAAAAAACTTATTTTCATTATTGAGGTTTTATAAAGTAAAATATACTTTAATTGTGGAGTTCTTTTGGTCTGAGGTGGTCAGAAGATATCTTTACACTAATGATCTTATTATTAGGTTTGGGGGTCATATTAAATTGGATGTAAATAATTAGTCCATGATTAAAATGCATTAGAATAAGTTGAGATGTATTTGTGTTTTGGTTCCTATTTAGTTTAATAATACAGGCAACTGTTACATGCATCTTTAATATATTAGTCTAACTGTTTCTCTTGTTTTACTAAACTGTCTTCTTTCAGCCACCCACACAGAATATGCCTATGGGTCCTGGAGGGATGAATCAGAGCGGCCCTCCCCCACCTCCACGCTCTCACAACATGCCTTCAGATGGAATGGTAGGTGGGGGTCCTCCTGCACCACACATGCAGAACCAGATGAACGGCCAGATGCCTGGTAAGTTTTTCTCCTCTAAGACATTAACACCAGAGTTGCTTAGCAACTGAAACGACATGGGGGCTCAAGGGATACTAGATTGTTGATGACAAAACTGCTTTGAATGCCCCCGAGTACAAGCTCTCTTAGAGTTTGTTAGCTACAGAGCTACGTGACCTGTATTCAGTGTTTATCAGGCTGCCCTTGGGCTTTGATGTAGCTGACACACAGCATTCCTCTGATGAACAGAACTGGCTAAATTTAGTCTGTCTGAAACTATGCAATACAGCTGGCTTTAGAAGCTTTTTGGAAAAAAAGGCATTGCGCCATGACTTAAGAATTAAAATCTCTTTATAGATTATAAAGGTATTATAACATTTCCTTGGGTTTGGTATTTACCTAAAAATTTACTGGTCTCAGAAACAGTATTGCTGGAAAAAACACACAAGGAAAAGAAAGAAAACAATCTGTAAAGTGCTAATGTAATATATTTAGTATTTCCTCATTGATAGTGTTGAAGCTGAGTATAAATTTTTATGGATATATATATTTATAGTATAATATAAATATAGAAATTGATAATAAAGCAAATTTAAAGGAAAAATAATTTCAGATGTTTTAGGTAATGAGTCATTCCTTTTACTATTTTTCCATTTTAAGTTTGGAGCCATTTAGAATATCTTCCAGGCCATTGGATGCTTAATTAAAAGTTACCTTTTGTTGGTTTGAGCTTTTAATCTGAAAAGTATTAAACTCTTTTGTCTTTGCAACAACAGCTACAACCCATACCCATAATTCTTGGTGGGTTGTTTTCTTCATTTAATTTGAGAATATTTTTACTTTCTGAAGACAAAGGCTATTTCATTAACAAAGTATTGTACAGATAGCAATAATGAAAGTAAGTGAAATAGCAGAGCAATTCATTTTTAAAATAGGTAATTAGCATTTTTAGGATAGTGTTGTCTTAACTGATTGTGTTGATTGGTAGCACTGGTGTCTAGGGATGATGGGTGTAGAAAGTGAAGTAAAGGAGAACACAGAGCCAGAGAAGCCAGATAGGCTGGTTTATACAAGATGGATGTGCGAGTGATCGATTGTGTAGAAGGGTGATGCTGTTTCGGTGGCTGTCTTCTCTTTCCTTCAGGGGCTTGCCACAATCCACAGCCCCCATGACCCACACCCTGAGGGGGTGGGAATAAAGACCTAACTACATGTTAGGCTGTAGTCAAGAGGAAGCTTCTGGTGAATCCACATTTAGTTCATCAGAACCTGTTTTTAGAACTGGAAGGGCAGTGCGAGTTAGGAGTTTTGTGACTTTTTATGGTCGTACTGTTAATTAGAATTTTGACTTCTCGATATAAATTCAAGCTTAAGAGCAGAGAAGCACTTGAGCAGCAGTGTAATTATTGTTAACATGACATTTGGGTTTTTGTATATGGCTATCAGGAGTAGTTATATTCTTTATTAACCAGAGATTTTTCACTTAGTTATGACATAGGTTGTCCAGAACACTGTAGAGCTTCCAAAACAGGTCTCTTATAGAGAGTTCGAGTTAGATGTAGGAGAAATTGAAGTCCAGTTACTTTTGTTTCCTTTATTTCCTTAATAGAGCTTAGCCAACCTTTTTACAAACACAAATTTGTATCTAGGCTTTCAGTTTTCCTATTTTTGTTTTGTTTTTTATTATTTTGTAAATCTAAGTCATAGAGCTACGTAAATGCTCTTTGATCTTGGTCAGATAACCTGTTTCAGATTCCTTTTTAAAAATGTTTAACTGATTTGAAAAAAATCAGATAATGTATGTCTCTGGTACCAAAATCAAAAGGTCCCAAAGGATATACAGCCCCTACCTCCATATTCTTTGTTCCAGAGACTCACTGTGTCTAACACATACGCATATGCACATTCCTTTTTCTTTTGTCTTATTCTCTTAAAAAAATACAAGTGATGGCATATATTATGTAGTATTATATATAATATTTTTCCCTCTTAAAAGATATATCTTAGAGGCTATAAGTATATAAAGATATTTTGGAGACCGCTCAGTACCTAAAGAGCTGCCTCATGCTTTTGGTGGCTGTTATTTCATTTGTTTTCATGGATGCCCCTAATTTATTTGAACTGTTCCCTTATAATGAAATACAGCCTATGTCTAATCTTCTGGTATTAAAAATTATGCTGATATGAATATGCCTGTAAAATGGAAGTAAATAAGTAAACAAGTGAATAAACACATACGCAGTTTTACATTCATGTACAGATACACACGAAAACTTGTATATTTACAGGATAAAGTCCTAGAAGTGCATTTGCTGTGTAAAAGATATATGCATTTTAAAATATGGCAGTTATTGCCTGGGTGGCTCAGTCTCAGTTGAACATTCGGTTTTGGCTCAGGTCATGATCCCAAGGCCTGTGAGTTCTGAGTTCAAGCCCTACGTTGGGCTCTGTGCTGACAGCTTAGAGCCTGGAGCCTGCTTCAGATTCTATGTTTCCTTCTCTCTCTGCCCCTTCCCATTCACAATCTGTCTCTGTCTCAATCTCAAAAGTAAATAAACATTTAAAAAAGTTAAATAAAATATGGTAGTTATTGCCAAGTTGACCTATGTAAAAATAGTACTTATTTATATATTTATATACCACAACAATGTATGAAATTACTTTTCTTCATAGATCAAAATTTTGGGTCTTTGGAACTTAAAAAGTGAAACAAAAGGTCTCATAATTTTTATTTGCCTTTTTATAAATGAAGCAGGCAGTCCTCTCATATTTATGTCCCTTTGGTAGTTTTTGTGTGTACTGATCATTCCTGTCCCTTGCCATTTCTTTTACTGCTGGTGGTCTTTTACTTACTTTGTATGTTAACGTAATTAGTTTAGTCTGTGATATGTCTTGTAAATAATTTTTTCCTACTTTTTATTACTTAATTTAGTTTTGTCTGGTTTGGTCATACTTAGTCTAGTTTATCAGTTTTTTATGGCTTTGGGTTTTCTGGCATATAAGAAGGCCCTTCCACTTCAAGAATATTTTTAAAGTTCTTTTTAAACATTTTTATGTTTTTTCCCCATTTTCTTTTTTAATGTTTAATTTTTTTATTCATCTGGAACTACTTTTGGAGGAAGGAATGTGGTAGGACTTTTCCAGATGGCTACTAATTTGCCACACTTCTTATTGAATTATCTTTCTTCTCCCCACTGATATTTAATTTCACCACTATTAGCATTTACAAAATTAGAAATTTGGGTGTGTCTTTAGACTCTGCTCTGGGTCCATTGATCTGTTAATTCATTTATATGCCAGTAGTAAACACTTTTCATTACTCCAGCTTTAGGGACACCTGGGTGGCTCAGTCTGCTAAGTGTCTTGATGCTTGATTTTGGCTCAGGTTATGATTTCACGATTCATGAGCTTGAGCCCTGCATCGAGCTCTGTGCTCTTAGGGCAGAGCCTGCGTGGGATTCCCTCTCTCTCTGCCCCTACCCCGCTCATGCACACATGCTCTCTCTCAAAATAAACTAAAAAATAAATAAATAAAAATAAAAAAAATTACTTAAGCCTTGTATGTTTTGCTCTCATAAAGCTCTTTGTTTTGCTCTCTTAAAAGCATCATTGCTTTTCTTTTTCAGAATATTGCTGGCTTTTAAAAGCATTAGTTTCTTAATCTATAAAGTGGGAATACGCTCTGCCTCACAGTATTTGCCCTCATTCATGTAATGCATTTACTTCGTTTACTATTGATTAAATAACTCAAGTTTTTGTTTGGTATTATTATGGTATGCAAGAGAAAATATAAAGCTCTTTAAAATACTTTTTAATAGACCATCTGTTTAACTTTCATATTTGGTTTTAACCACTTTTCTTCAAAGGGCCTAACCATATGCCTATTCAGGGACCAGGACCCAATCAACTCAATATGACAAACAGTTCCATGAACATGCCTTCAAGTAGCCATGGATCCATGGGAGGTTACAACCATTCTGTGCCATCATCACAGAGTGTGCCAGTACAGAATCAGATGACGATGAGTCAAGGGCAACCAATAGGAAGCTATGGCCCCAGACCAAATATGAATATGCAACCAAACCAAGGTAAATAAGCTTGATGTCCTTCTCTACTAGAATGCTGTGTTAGCCTTTGAAAGTAAAATAGTTTTTTCAAGTTGGTAGCTGATTCATGAAAATAAAAGTTGAAAGTAAATAGTAGTCATTCTCATAAAAAAGGAACGTTGAACTTGAAACCCGTTTAAAATATTTTTTTTGCATTTAGAAGTTAAATTGCTTAATTTAGCTTTTAAGCTTATTTATTGTTTTTGTCTTTTGGACAGTTCACTTGAGATTCTTGTGTTTTAATTTAAAAAAATTTTTTAAGTTAATAATGAATAACTAAACATTTGAATTACAGCTAGAAGGTTGAGAAAATATAATTTTATCTTAGCAAATATAAGCTCTTAAAAAACTTTTACTCTGGTTTATTTTACTTATCAAGGATTCATTATTAATTTATATGAATTTCTCTTGATTTTTATGAATGTTTTCAGATGTGTGTTTTAGCATTAAGAGGTAATTTTAACATTATTATATAACATATTTATAACATATTGTTAGAGTGTTCACTAGAGATAGTGTTGTATTCTTCTATTTTTAGAATGGGGTGAAGTCTATTAAAGTTTATTACCAATCTCAGAGAATGAAATTATTATCATGTTTCTTTTTTAAGTATTCTTATGAATAATAACTAAAAAACCAGTAAGTGGCGCTCTGTTCTGCTAGTTGCCTGTTAAAACATTTGGCATATTGCCAGCCTAAAGTTATTTCAGTTGTTGCAAAATGTGAGGTTAAGAGTATAAGATAGAATTCATATTTGCAATAAAATTTTCTAGATTTGGATTTTGAAAAACAAATTACTAAAGTGCAGCCAGATAAAGGGAGTTAAGGTTAATTTGTTGATAATGATTTATGATGAAATAACATATTCTAACATTTATTCTAACATTTAAATAGTAATAGAGAAATTTTTATATTTTTGATGAGATACACTGGAAAACAGAGAGCCAATACAATAAATTGTTAGTGTAGCTTCACGAAGGAGGCACTTGCTCCATTCCCCCCTACTCCAAGTTGTTTAGTGCCCATGATAGAATTTCTATTTTATAAAATTAGGCCAATTAAAGGTTCAGAGTAACAGCAAGATCCAGTCAGTGGAAGCTCAGAAGGGATTTCAGAGGTTTCTCTATGCATTTTGGTTACCAGGAGAGAGCATTCTCACAGCAACTACAGTGATGATGGCACACCACTTAGAAACTGCAATTAAGAAAAGGGTAGGGTGTGTGCAGGAATGGATGTTGCTGTAAGATTTGAAGAACAAAAAAGTAATATATGCAGCAATGTGCATGTAGAAAATAGTAACATTTTTGGAGAAAGAAATTGAGGTGTTTATAGGAATTTTCTGTTCTAAACTTAGGGACCATTATTTATTTGTTAATTTATTTAAAAATTTTTTTAGTGTTTATTTTTGAGAGAAAGACAGAGAGACATCATGCGAGTTGAGGAGGGGCAGAGAGAGAAGGAGATACAGAATCTGAAGCAGGCTCCCTCCAGGCTCTGAGCTGTGTGCATAGAGCCCAGTGCGGGGCTCAAACTCCTGAACTGTGAGACCATGACCTGAGCTGAAGTCAGATGCTCAACCAACTGAACCATTCAGGCACCCCTTTTATTTATTTTTTTGAGACTGAGAGGGCGCAAGTGAGCGAGGGGCACAGAGAGAATAGTGGGGCTCACCCGGGGCTCATGTTTTACCCAAAGTGGGGCTCGAGCTCATCCGACGTGGGACTCCAACTCACGAACTGTGAGATTGAGACCTGAGCCAAAGTCAGATGCTTAACAACTGAGCCATCCAGGCACCTGGGGCCAACTATTCTTTTTAAAAATGTCACATTCTGAATTTGTATTACTAATGTATAGTTTTTACTATAGTAGTTCTGTTGCTTTGTGTTTTGTTCGCCTAATCTATGAATTTCTCAATAATTTTCTGTATAGTCTATTTTCTCCGTAGGAATCTGACTTAAATAAGAGTAACTTTTCAAAAAACAATATGATGGAAATCTGTGAGGAACTTTTCAGGATTTAAAAAATCTCTTCAGGACAAATAAACCTATCAGTTAAATTTTGATATTTCAGACATAAAAAATACCAAAGAAAATTACAGTTGCCAAAAAAAGAGAGAAAGTTATATGAGCTTGCAGCAGCATCTGCTTTCTTAATCATATGAGTTCCCTGTACATTTTAATTCTATGATATGTATTGGATGAAAAAAATTTACACAGTTTTACCTAAAGTTTTAATATTCATTGCACATAAAACATTTTCTTGGCTTTAAAAATAAGCTACATGTTTTACATTAAAAGTTTTGATAAATGAGTAGAAGAAATCAGAAGGGACCACTTTTTAAATAGTTCTTTGAGAAATGCTTAGAAAACACCAACATTCTATAAAAGGAAACATTTTCAACTTTCAAAACTCTTAACATTTGTTGAGATGTTGTTAGCTCTTCTTTGAGTTAAAATCAAAATAGTGATATCTTTTGGCAATCCCTGTATTTCTACATAACATATCTGTCGGTATCAAGAGATCTTAAAAAAACTGTTAAATTTACTTACCAGTTTTTAATAATGAGGCTAATTTGTCAAGGAAAAGAAACATTTGTGGGATTTCTTAATTTAAACTTCTGTCAAGTGATAAAAAATGGAAGAAGACTAATCGAGAATTTTAGTTATATTTTAAAAAGGCATAATTAAAAGGTAATTACTTAATTATTACATTAATTATTATTTAAGTGACATATTTGGGAACTTTAACGGATAATGTGGCAGTAGTTTTCTAAACAGAACGTGACAGATCAAAGTCTAGATGCAATTATTCTGATAGCTTTGAAGTGGCTTTAGTTTTTACCCTCTCTCTTCCCTTCCTTCTTTCTCTCTATGCTTTGAAAATTAAACTAAGTGTGGGGGGGGAAGTAACTTGTTTAAAAATGTTGTCATTGTAATTTGGGAATCTGATTGAAATTAATACAAAGGACAGATAGACATTTACAGTTTATTATTTTGATTGTTTACAAAAGCAGAGAAGGATTCTGTTAATTGATAACTATTAGCTCTAGTAAAATAAGACACTTTGTGTACTAGTGTTATAGTAAAAGTATTATTTCTAGGAATGAAATTGTGGAATCTTTTGAGCTTCATTAGTTCTCTAAAAGCTGTTTTTAGCTTTTATAACAAAAACTTGCAGACCTACCACACAAAGTATGTCTTTTCAAAAAGCTGCACAAAAAGTTGACCCCATTAAATTTACTAATCATTACTGCTAAAAGGAATTTCAGTAGTAAATGTTTTTTTGAACTTAAAAAGTGCATGTATAATAATGCCATTGATATTGATGATTTGTAGTTGATTTGTAGTTTTACACATACCTATGAATTGAGAAGACTGAAATATTTTTTTAATTTAGCAACTAGGTTTATTATAGCACAGTATTTTTCTCTGTGTTCTCTACTGCTTCCAGATAAAATGAAAAGTTTAGGAAGTTTTTGTTGTTCCTTATACTGCTGGCAAAATGTTGTAAATAGACAATCCAGCATAAACTTTCCTGTGTTATTTTCACTATGATCCGGATAAAAGTTTAGGGATTATCACTTTGAACTTTAAGAATGAGACTTGTGTTCAGAGCAAATCACTACCTTCTTAAATAATTGGGTCTGCCCTTTCCTATATACAGCATAAACTTCACTGGAATTCAAATGCTTGAATTCACTAGAATTAAAAATAAAAAATGGAGGAAGTGTATCTGTTTCGTTCTAGTGCCTAGAACAATGCCTCATAGTAGGCATACAATGTCATATGATGACCTGGAAATACAGAGTTAGTACCTTAAAGGTGTTTCTTCAGTAAAGCAAGAGGTGTATTCATTAGAGCATTAAAAGTCAAATTAGAATAGCAGGGCTTTCTGAAAATGACTAACATTTGATAGAATCTGCACATTTTTTATTCCCAAGCATGATTGTAGCTTTTCTCATTTTACTAATTACACATTCAAATATAAGTTTTCACAAATTACTATGTTTGTGCTACAACATGTAATTTACAAGTTCCATGTGTTTAATTCTTCAGACTTGGATCCAAATCTTGGCCCAGAAGATATTGTATGTGGGACCTTTGACTAAATTACTTAATACGGAAGGTTAAGTGAAACGATGCATATAAAAATACTGATTCAGAATTGTTTGCCCAATTTATATGAAATTGGTCAGAATAAAAAGCTTTTTAAAAAAATATGTTTATTTTTGAGAGAGAGAGGGAGAATGTGAGCAAGGGAGGGGCAGAGAGAGTGGGGGAGAGAGAAAGAATCTCCAGCAGGCCCCTTGCTGTCAGTGCAGTGCCTGACACAGGGCTAAATATCACAGACTGCGAGATCATGTCCTGAGCCGGAATCAAGAGTCAGATGCTTAACTAGCTGAGCCACCCAGGTGCTCCTAAAAAGCATTTTTTTAATAACAACAACAACAACAACAAAAAAACTGAGATAAGTTTATCAGGTGTCTCTTTTAAGCATATCAAATTTATTTTTGGTTTTAGTTTTGTTTGAATAATACTAAAGCTCTGATTCGTTTAGGTAATAAGTTACAAATAATAATGGTCTGATCTGGAGGCTTGATGTTAGCATAGTAGGAAATTTTTCTTTCAGTACTTTTATTATGGTAAATATGAAGGGCAAAGAGTCTGTATTCATAGCTGGGAGTGTTATATTTATCTTATTATATAATGGATTATTGTCTGATAAGAGCTGTACCAAGCAAATGTGCTTAAGATAAGCCTAGAACTTAATTGTGTATGTAGATCATAGTGGTATATTTCCTTGCACCTCTTTATTACCAGTATTTATAGATCTACCTCATTTGAAAAATAGCATTCATGATATGGATCTCACATAATTTATTTAATGAAACCATATCCCCCCCTTTTTATAAAAATGGTGGTTTTGTTGATTTCTTATTTTATTATTAATTTATTTATTTTGAGATAGAGCGCAAGCAGGGA